TTCTTATTATTCTTTTCACTATCTTCCCTCTTTTCCTTTATCCTCGGCGGTTGGGGTGGTCGGGCGGTGGCGTGCAATGTCTTGGGGGAGCAGAGGTGGGCATACCTGAAAGCACAGTACTTAAGAAGGGCACATGGCAGTAAAAACTCACATCATTGAATGTGAAGGGCCTAAATGCCCCAACTAAGAGACGTCTCAGGGAATTGAAACGGATGAAGTCCGATGTTGCATTTATCCAGAAGACTCACTTACCGAAACATGCTAACTTCAAACTAAAGGACCATACATATAGCTCAATTTATGAAGCTCGAACACACTGCAAATGCAATGGAGTAGCGATCCTAATACGGAATAGCTGTCCATTGAGTCTCGTCCACTGATCTTGATTCGGATGGGTGCTATATCATTATCTCTGGTACTTTACTTTCACACACAATTCATTTAATTAATGTATATACCCTGAACAAACCCAACGCGGGATTTTGGGAGGTACTACAGTCCAAAATCCAAGCTCTACCACACGGCATGATCATAGTTGGTACAGGGGACTTTAACGCTGCGCTGTGCAACGTCATAGATAGGAGCACGAACAGGGGAGTACCTAGATCCCAGGGGAGGGGAGGTCAGGATAAGTTGTTTCACAGGTTTGTGACCACTGCAGGGTTGGTGGACGTCTGGAGGTCAGATCATCCAAGCACGATAGATTTTACGTTATATTCGGCCCCACATGGCACATATTCTAGAATAGATCTCTTCCTGGTCAACAAAAGGAGCCTGACACGTTTAATAGGATCAGAGAGCATTACATGGTCGGACCAGACGACGGGACATTAGGACGATTAGAAGAGGTGCGCACCCTGCTACTAGATGACACAGCCAAATCCATAACTTGGTCCAAAACGACCTTTTATGAACACACAGACATGGACACTCTTCTAGCCAGGGTCCTGAAACCCAGACAGAGAAGGGGACATATCACCTCCATACATCACCTAGACAGCTCTACGAAAACCAAGCCCCCAGACATTGCAGAGGTATTCACTGACTTTTATAAATCTCTTTATAATCACTCCCCAAACTCAGAGACTTAAATGGCACAAGACGAAGATTTGACAAGCAGGTTCCTGACTGACTTACGGCTGCCCAAATTACCACAGGAAGCGACCAAAACGTAAGCAGCAGAAATCACTCCGGAGGAAGTGGCCCGAGGAAATAAAGCCCCCGGACCGGACGGTTTTGATGGGAGCTACTATAAAGCATTTAGGGACAAACTCCTCACTTAGCAGCCTTATTTAATGATTTCAGGGCGGGAGGCACTCCGGACCAAGTGATGTCATTAGCAACCAGTATCTTTTTGCCAAAACCAGATAAAGACCCTTCCGTCCCTGAAAGTTATAGACCCATGTCACTCATAAACCACAATATGAAAATCCTAGCAAAGATCCAAGCAGAAAGGCTTAACCCTGTAATTCAACTCTAATCGATGCTGATCAAGTGGGCTTCATTCAGGGTAGGCAATTGTTTGAAAATACCATAGGAATACTGATCTTATCTGGAAACAGGTGATCACCCACTCCCCAACGTTGCTTGTTTCCATAGACGCGGAAAAAGCTTTCGACAGACTTAAGTGGCCCTAACTCTTTACACTGCTGTCACACTTAGGCTTCCCAGAGCAGGCTATAACCCTGATAAAGGCTATGTACAGCAATGTACGGGCGCAGGTGAGGATCTCAGTCTGATATAACTTTAATACATGACACACATCACATACACATTGAACGCCTCTCGCTTACATATTTAGGCATTCGATTGACGGCAAATCCAGAAAACGTATATAACCAAAACTATGCACCACTGATAAAACAGCTGATTAGGGAAATGGAAACCTGGACAGATAGACCTATATCATGGATAGGGAGGATTCATGTTGTCAAGATGAATATATTACCTAGGATCCTGTTTTTATTCCAAACACTATCTATTCATCTTTCTAAGGCACACCTTTCACCCCTGCAGCAAGCTATAGGTAACATTATATGGCAAAATAAATGTCACAGGATATTGAGACACATATTGTTTAGGCCAAAAACGAGGGATGGGCTGGGTTTACCAAACCTATATTTCTATTATGTCACAGTACAACTGACGCAAGTAGCAATGTGGCACTCTACCCAGGGAGAAAGAAAATGGGTTTATTTGGAATCCCTCATGGTGGGAGCAGACCTTCCACAACTCCTCATATGGGTACCTAAAGACTATAGGCCCTTAATTAGGGTCACGTGCCCTACAATACTCAACTCCCTGAGCATTTGGGACTCCTCCATGCATAAATATGGTCTGGCATCTACCCCGTCCCCCCCTGATGCCATACCTCCGCAACAGGGCATTCATCCCAAGAATGTCTAAAACAATAGGAGGTTCAGCGCTCTACAAATACACAGTATAGGTGCCCAGTATTCAAAGAGTGCAGTAAAAAAGAAATACATACACTTAAAATGAACTTATCCACAGAAGTACCTATAAAACATAAAGCATCACATAGGGTAATATTGTCTGTCAGGTATCCACACTGTAGGGCCTTGCGGTCCATAGGTAAAACTTACAGGTTGCCAATCACCAAGTTTTTACTTTTTTGCTAGACTTGTTTATGTTCAGGTTTTATATCTGTTAAATCAAAAACTTGTGCAACCATAGGGCCAGATATGACAAGACCAATATGTCCAGTCTGAGGATATATAAAACTCCTTTCATTGTAACATTATTAAGTAGATTTGTTTCTGTTATTTCTCTTTATTGTTCTAAGATGGCATTTGGACAGAAGCTCTGCCAGGAACATATCTGTACTTTATGTCAACACTAAATAAAGAATAAAAAAATAAAAAAACTGAGGTCAAATGATTTTCCCTGTGTTTATGTGCTTTATAGCTTGAATCAGTTCCTTCTCTGAAACTGGGTTCTTTAGTAGTTTAACAAAATCTGTTGTATATGTATACGAGTGCTTAAAATGCATGTATTCAGGCAATAAGGGTGGGTTGTGTTGCAGAGAGCGTTGGTGTTTTCTATAGGGCAGAAGAGTATTGTATTACAACTCCTGGAATTTTATTTGGAAGGTAGTGTAGTCTGTCAAGCTTGTTCTGAATCCTGGCAATATTGTTGACAATCTCTTTTTATTGATCATACAGATCAGAAGAGAGCCACAATCTCTTGGTGCTAAGATATGCCCTGTGATAGGCAGTATTACATAATTTGGACAGGTCCTATTGTAAGAGGGCAAGTTCATGGATATGTCCCGTGTCATGTGGTTTGTTTATGTGGTGTTGCAAATTCTGTCAGTGATAGATCATATTTGTGCCTAACTTTTAGACAGAAGAGCAGAACTTTTAGATATAAAATAACACCTAAGAATACATTTGCGTGCTTCCCACGAAAGAGGAGCTACATCATCAGTAAAATTTTCATAAAAATATTGGGTCAAGGCAGTCTGTGGTTACATAGGTACATATTTGTCTAGGTTGAAAAAGACTAAATTCCATCATGTTCAACCGTGCAGCCCATTCTTTTATGATGTTGATTCAAAAGAAGGTAAAAAAAAACCTATTGTCGCCATTTCCAGTTATACGACAAAAATAGAAAAAAAACTCCTTCACTCCTTAACGGCAATCAGATTTCTCCTTGGAATGTTTTTGCAAAAAATCATCCAAACCATTTTTTTAAATGTATCTATAGAATCTGATAACACAATCTCTTTAGGAAAATTTCACATCTTTATTGTTCTCTCTGTAAAGAAGCATTTCTGCTGATGTAAGCCTTTCTTTCCGTCTACAATGCTTTCCTATGAGGGAAATCCTAATGTGAGCGCAGTGAGCAGGAGAGAAGCAGGGACATTGGTGCTGAAATCAGGGAAGTAACCACTTACTTCTTTGGGATTCAAGGGATTCCATTGAGATAAGTTTAAATCATTCATGTAAAAAAAAATCCACAAAATGTTGGATCTTATTCTTTGGTCCCTTCAAACTAAATAGAAGTTTGACTCCTTTTCTGGCCACATCTCTGGAGATAGAACTCATTACCAAAGGAAAACTAATTATGGGACAACATTATGTTGAGGTTTATTCAGGGCCATGTCAAAACAGCAGCCTAACAAAATCACTAGCCTGATTGCCCCAATTTATGTAGTGGTCCTAATGGCCAGGATGTCTTCTTTTGTTTGCGCTTGTATGTGTGTGCTTGGGTCAGTGTGCGTGTCTGCTTGGGTCGGTGTCTGTGTGCTTGGATCTCCATGTGTGTCTACTTGGGACAGTGTGTGTCTGTATCAGTGTGTGTGTGCCTTGGTCAGTGTGTGTCTGGATCAGTGTGTATGTGTGTGTGTTTGCTTGGGTCAGTGCATATCTGCTTGGGTGTGTGTGTGTCTACTTGGGACAGCGTGTCTGCTTGGGTAAAGTGTGTGTTTGCTTGGGTCAGTGGGAGTGTCTGCTTGGGTAAAGTGTGTAGCGGATGGCACTGGGCTGTCCTGCAAATGTATTGTGAATAACTGCATTCGTGTGATCTGCTGTTGTTATATGTTTTTAAAAGAATTGTATTCCTCTGATTGTTCGGTAGTTTCATTCCCTTAGTTTATTCGAATGAAACTACCGAACAATCAGACCTCCCCTGTGTGAAGTGTGTCCTCAATTACCCGTTGCAACATTGTTGCGAACGGGTAATTGACAAGTTAAGTAGCCGTCCTTTGTTCTCGGGGGTGGCCGCCATTCGACAAACAAACACATTTTAAAACTCCCGAACAGCGGTGTTTTGCCGTCGAGTGTCTGGAACTCAAATCGGACACTCGAGTAGGCGAACACCGCTGAAACCTCCACAAGCCCGGTCCGTTCGGTTCCTAACTACCGAACGGCCCCTCAGGCGAACCCTCCCTAGCCTCTATAGCTAGAGGCTTTCGTGTAGTTTGTTCCCTTATTCCAGTTCCGACCGCAGGGCCCATTCGCATGGAACCACATTCGGCTGTCTCAGTTAGTGCGGTCGGTCATTTTATTCCCTCCATACATTTCCCGAACCCCTGGTCTGATCTGGGTGATTTTTGGATATGTTGTTCACCCAGATCAGGGCTATCCGGGGATGTAGGATTTAAAGAGGTACCCCTACGTTTAGGGGTACATCCAGAAACGGGGGGAATTGCTAGCCTGGATAAGGGGATTATGATGCAAGCTGAGGGGAGGAGATGGGTGGGAGGTTACCAGGACAGGATTGGCTACTGTACTAATGATTGTAAATCCCTCCCTTGCATGGGAGCATGCTTTAAAAGGACACTGTGGATTAAAGCTTTCTGTTCTGCTCCTGAAACTGTGTGTCGTCCAGTTATTGGGATTGCTGTTGGGATATTGCTGTTATTTTACCTGCTGGAAACCTTGCCTGTGGATTTACTATTTACTTGTTCCTGAGCCTCACTTGGATTATCAGCGGAGATAACCTGGGGAATATTGCACTCCGCTACAAAGTGTGTGTGTCTTTTTGGGTCAGTATGTGTGTGTGTGTGTGTGTGTGTGTCAGTCTGCATCAGTCAGTGTGTGTGTGTAAGCTTGGGCCAGTGTGTGTGTATATGTCAGTGTATATGGGTTAGTGTATGTCTGCTTGAGTCAGTGTGTATATGTCACTCTGGGTGAGTCAGTGAATTTGTGTGTGCATTGGTCACTGATTGTAACTGTGTGGACCATTGAGTGTGAGTGAGCGCATTCGTGTGAGTGAGTGTATGTATGTATCTATCAGTGATTGCATTTGGGCAAAAAGGAGCATTTTGATTTATAAAAAAAAGTAATACTTTGAAAGGAACACTTTCAAACTTTTATTTCCTGGATCCTGCATATCCTTGGTGGGGATTATACCACCTAAGCTGTTTATACCGGAGCAAGTTATATGCTCTAAAAAGTGTAAGTACAATACTTTTTATTACTAAATATACTAGTAGTACTTACTTCACCATATTGCTGCTATCTCTTCTTATATTTACTATGCACACTGCACCTTGAGAACATCCGTGGCAACTACTACGAATCCTAAGACGGGGATTGTACCATCCAGGCGCTTAACAGCAGAGCTCTGTCATAGCTCATTCAAATGTGAGTGGACTGTACACAGCTATAATTGCTCATATTTTTGGGAATTCCATCTTATTTTATAAAATTTCAATTACTGTATTGCACTATTATTCTTTGTTTTAATTTTTTTTTGAGGCTATAATCGATCGGAATATTCGAGGATATATGTATGTATTTTTTTGTACATAACAATTACTAGGCGCGGTATACGCCTTTTCTTCTTTCTATTATTTACTCACAGGATTGGGGAATCCCTGTTTTGTATACTGCTGCCTGATCACTATAGTGAGCGCCTATCACTCTCTCTTTCTTTCACTACAGTGTTAGGAATCTAAACCTGTGTTCCAAATACTACATTGTCTCTGTCCCGTTATAAATCCTCCCTACCTCCACCCCACCACCATAAAAAGGATTTAAAAAAGGGCTAAGACTCCCTCTGCACTGCTTGCCTTTTTACCTTGCTCAATGTCACTAATGGGGCAATGCTGGCCCAATCCAATGCTCCTCATACAGGAGCATTGAGGACCTGAAGCGCAATGCACTTCCAATGCTTCTCATGGCATTGTAACGGAGGTGTCTCTAGTGGCTGTCAGTGTGACAGATACTAGAGGCTTGTTTAACCCTTCAAGGTAAGGCAATGTTTTATCTTGTGGGATTAAACCTACATGACCACTATGGAGTGAATGGGGTGGCAACATTTATTTTGCCATATGGCTGTAAATATCTTTGCACCGGCCCTGGTGGTGGTAGTGGAAGAGGTAGTGGAAGAGGTGCAAACCTGATTTGAGCATTACATGAGGATTGCCTGGTATTCCACTGTTGTGTGAGGGTTAACCAACTCTATAGGTCGGTGCAAAAGAAAACCAGTCTTTCCACACAGCATCTATGACAGGATGTCAGCACCAATGTAGACATGCTGACATATAATGATCTAATTTTGCCAACTCAGAACTGGCATTGCAAACATGCCCGATTTTGTCTAGCCATTAGGCGAGACCTTTAGGTAATATTGTATTGAATCCTGGAAAAACAAACGTCCAGTCACTCTAAAGCTCAGCAAGGCACTTTTATTGAAAACAAGTAGACATCATGTATTTCTGGGGATTGTGCTAGCCCCAGGTTTGGTTGCACCTAATTATGTTTTGCTCTATTGAATGTGTGCAGTTCCTCAAATATTGTTGGTATATTTAGGTAACAGTGTATTTGGTTTTGCATTGCAGCACAATACTAGGGTATTTTTCATGCTTTTTTCCACCCAAATTTCTTCTTTGACATTTGTCCCTCCATTTGGTTCACAGATCAAGTTAGAAAAAGTAACCAATACAGGGAAAATAAGAAGAGCGGTAATACATCTATACTTATATATTCATTTAGATTTGTTTTTACTGTCCCTTCTTTTTTTCCTCTATTAGTCACTTCTCACTTGATCTGTAAATAAAATCAACATTTAATGCCACCAGTCATCATTTTTTTACATCAATCATGTATGTTTGTGATGCCAAGAACAGTATTCCAAGTCATAAATCAAACCAACATGTTTTTCCATTGCACAATTCATTTGGTTTGCGATTTGGCTACATTTAAGATCACATGATCAGCCCAAATTCGGATTAATTGTAGTTCATAACAAAACAAATAATTCTCGAACAAACACACTGTTTTGTTCCATTTCTAAAACTGCTGTATGAATGATGAGTAAAAGTCTAGATATAGGAGTAGATTTCCTAAATTATGAAATCAATATACAATATGTTGTACAAAATAAAGTAACACGTTATAAAACGAAATAATGCAGATATGCTCCCCCAGTGAGATGTAGTGATTGTGACTCATGAACTTAAAATCTTTCTTCCCACGCAGAACTATCTCTACTGTATATTATCCTCGTAACTGTTTGTTTGTTCTATAGACACAACAGGCGAAGAATGAATCATGTTTAACCCCTTCCCGACTGATGACGGTTCAGGACCGTCATCTGAAAAAGTCTATTTGAGGACCAGTGACAGTCCTGAACCGTCATAATGGACATTTTTACTCACCAGGTCGCCATCGTTCCCCCCGGTGTAGAGAGACTGCCTGCAGCCCAGGCAGTATCCCTGCAGCGAATTAGGACCCCATGGCTATATGATCGCTCTAACAGAGTGGTCATATGGCCACAATAGCTGTCCATGTAGCTGCCTGCAGGGGTACTGCCGGTGCTGACAGGCAGTCTCCCTGCTGCTGGAAAATAAAAAAAAATAACTTTTAAAAAGCAATCAGTGTAAATAAATGTATATGTGTATGTGTCACGACTGCTAGTGTGGTCCAACACGCAGAAATTATGTAAACATATACATAGAAAAAGAAAGGAAAAATAAAAGGACAGAGCGTAAACCAGTCCTTAGAATGGCTGGACTAATATCCTAGAGATAGAGAATGGTCAAAGGCAGGGGCGTATTAGCCGCGAGGCAAACAAGGCATTTGCCTTGGGCGGCATTTTTCAGGGGGCGGCAAAAAACGCCGCCCCCCCAAATGCCCAGGGCAAATGCCTAGTTAGCCTCGCGGCTAACTGACATCCCGGGCGGGCGGCGCTGGCAGGCGGGCGGGCGGCCGGCGAGGGAGCACCTCCTCTGAGCTGACTGCTCAGCTCCCTCGCGGCCGCAGAGTGAGGCTGGGAGCCGGAATATGACGTCATATTCCGGCTCCCAGCCTCACTCTGCAGCCGGCGCGCGAGGGAGCTGAGCAGTCAGCTCAGAGGAGGTGCTCCCTCGCCGGCCCCCGGCCCGCCTGCCAGCGCCGCCCGCCCGACCGACCGGCAGCCACTGGACCACCAGGGAGAGAGAGACCCCCCCCCCAACACTCCCAATGGTAAGGAGGTTAGGGGGGGGGATTTAAATTTAAAAAAAAAGTTAATGTGTGTGTGTGTGTGTGTGTGTGTGTCTGACTGTGTGTGTGTGTTTGTGCCTGACTCTGTGTGTGTGTGTTTGTGTCTGATTGTGTATGTGTGTGTGTGTTTGTGTCTGACTGTGTTTGTGTGTTTGTGAGTGTGTGTGTGTGTGTGTATGTGTCTGACTGTGTGTGTGTTTGTGTCTGACTGTGTGTGTGTCTGTGTATGTGTCTGACTGTGTGTGTGTTTGTGTCTGACTGTGTGTGTCTGTGTATGTGTCTGACTGTGTGTGTGTGTGTGTGTGTGTGTTGTGTCTGACTGTGTGTGTGTGACTGTGTGTTTGTGTCTGACTGTGTTTGTGGTGTGTGTGTGTGTGTGTGTCTGACTGTGTGTGTGTGTGTGTGTGTGTGTTTGTGTCTGACTGTGTGTGTGTGTGTGTGTCTGACTGTGTGTGTGTGTGTGTCTGACTGTGTGTGTGTTTGTGTCTGACTGTGTGTGTGTGTGTGTGTGTTTGTGTCTGACTGTGTTTGTGTCTGTGTATGTGTCTGACTGTGTGTGTGTGTGTGTCTAACTGTGTGTGTGTGTGTTTGTCTGACTGTGTGTGTGTGTTTGTCTGACTGTGTGTGTGTGTGTGTATTTAGAAGGTGGGGCGGGGGGAAGGGTTGGGTGGGGGTGGAGGGGGGCGCCTGAGTTTTGTCCTGCCTAGGGCAGCACAAAACCAGGATACACCACTGGTCAAAGGGAAAGCCGAGGTCAAGGAAGCCAGAAATACTCAAATACCATTTAAACAAGCAAAAGTCAGGGAAACCAGAAATCGGAATAACCAGGAAAAGCCAAGATCAGAATAACAGGAAATCAGAATCACAAGGATAAATGCACTCTTGGGAACCAGGAACAGGAAACCACAACAGGGCAAGGAACTGGAGTGAATAAGGGATTTAAATATCCCTCTCTGGGCTCTGATTGGTGACCTCTGACCCCAGAACGTGCACGTGCGTTGACATCGTGACGTCACGCGCACGTCCGTATAATTTTGAGGGGTGGAGCTTGTGATGTGCGCGACCACGTGGTCAGCGCCATCTTTGATTTCGGCGCACTGCCCAGAAGACGCGGAAGAGCGGTTCCCGGCTCGCCGACGAGCAGGTAAGCTTGCTATATCGGCGAGGTCGTGCCGGTCGGGCAGGGATCCGCCATGCGGCGGGCCGGGAGCCGCAACAGTATGTATGTCAAACTAAGTGTATTTTTATATTTATATATACATATATTAATATAAAAATACACTTATAATTAAATTTCACACGTGTATATATTGT